AAGTGCAACGAAAACTTTAGGAGACTTTGGCCGCTGACACTCTGGACAGTTGGGCAACGCAGATGTAACGAGGCCATCGACGCGCAGGCCATAACACTGGAGGAAGCCTGGGAGGGACTCTTTCAGACGCTACAGATCGACTACCACTCCGATTGGCGCAGGATCAGACAGCTGATCAGAAAGGACCGATACAAAGAGAAATGACATCATTGGCACTTTTCTTTTAAGCAGCAGGTGCTTGGAGGCGGCGAGCTGGGCAGGTCACCATTGAGGGCGGCGATATCCTCGAACTCAACTGGAGAGCTGCAGCAGGATATGGGCCAAAAAACCTGACACGCACGAAGAAGTCCGTTCTGAGCTCAGCGCCTCTCGCAAACCGCACACCGCCATCACCCTTCTGGCTAAGATGACATAAATGGACCATCGGTAAGGGGGGCACACAGCGGTATTGCAGTGTGCGAGGCGAGCAACAGACATGCTGGCTCGACAACCAGCACTAAGTCTTGAGATCTCCCAACGTGCCCTACGACGGAAGGACCACAAGGCAGAGGCCGAGGGAATGGCCTGGGGGATCAGATAAGATTCAACAGGCCAAGACAGGGGGGGAACAACTGGAATTGCTGAGACCACGGGGCCCGTAGATGGCAGGATCTCCCAGGATTAAGGGGTTTGGGCCTTTTGGCGGACACGCCCGCCAAGGGGGTTTGCATACGTAGTCAAACGCTTGTTCTGCGGTCAAGGTCAAGGGTGTGGCAGACAAGCCTGAAAGGTTTCTAGCAGAGACATGCATGGACGGGTTATGTTGACATGGATGGGATGGGGGCTCGCCGAGGAGGCAGCAACAACCACAACAACCACAAGTGGTTAACGGGGACTCCCCCCTTGGAGGGTGTATCTTACTATCTGTTCTATGCTGCTTTACTTGCCGGTGGAATAGGAACCCCACTGACACTCCCCAGAACGGACAAGGAGCCAGAACCATTACTAGGTTCTGTTGTTCTTTTTTTTTCCCAAAAAGATTACATTCATGTTCTAAGGACGGACCCCACTGCCCGGCGGCCTGGAAAAGTTCGGGCACTGTAGTGTTTTCCAGACCCCACCGGTGTTGGAAACCGGTGTGGAAAGTCAGCCCAGAAAGGAATTCCAGACCCCACCGTGCTTGGAAGCAGGTTGCAGAAATGCTGACGGGGCGTTTCTTCTCGGTCGGCGGTCTGGAAATTCAACGCCGACCGCTTTCCATTCCCTTTCCAAAGAGGCGTCCAGACGAGCAGGGGTGGGGGCATGTCCATCCGTTTCCAGACAACGGCTGGACGGCGTGGACCACGCACCCTCGTCGTGGACCGTTTTTTGGACCGGGAGGCTGCCGTGGACATGCTCTTGTTTTTTGCCATCGCACGGTTCTCCCGAGGGCCCGGGGATCTGGGCCATCCATGCAGACCCGTGCTCCTCGCCAAATCCTCCTCCTTCACGGACCCATGCTCCTCGCCAAACCCTCCTCCTTCACGGCCCCGTGCTCCTCGCCCAACCCTCCTCCTTCGTCGACGGCTATGGCTTCCCGTCAGTGCTCCTAACCTGCACTCCCATTCTGGATGGTCCGGCCGGGAAAAGTGGTTCCGACGGCAGGAGTGGGGGGGGGGGKGTTCCGTGCACAGACGGGTCTCGCCGCCTTAGCGGACCCCATGAGGCCGTTGTGTGCTGCAACCGCCACACCGGGTCACGCACGGCCAAACACGGACATGTCCTGGTGCAGGCCGATAGAAGGCCATGGACCACAGCCCCGGCCCGACTTGCCTTTTCGGGAAACACCCCGGGGGGATTTCCTATTCGGGGATGTCCATCCGTTTCCAGTGCCGAGAGTCAAGGGTGGCGGTGGGGTCCCAACGAAACGCGGAAGTTCTTTCCAACCACGCTGGGCTGTTTTTTGTGGCCAACATCAGTTTCCAGCCGCCGGGCAGTGGGGTCCAGGCCTAAGTGAATAGAAAGCCAAGTATGTCTTCTATATTCGTTTAAAACGCACATGCCCTTGTTCAGGCCCTTGAGGGGAAGACATTGTTCCCTCTGTTTTTTTAACTATTTTCTCTCTCTGCTCGTTTTCCCTCCTCAAGTCTGAAGTAGTCCTGCACCTATGGAGTGATGGGCAGATGTGAGTAGCACGGTATAGTGCTGTCTCCTCACTGATGAAGGGAGGGAGCATCCTGCACCCGGCTGGAAGACAATTGCAATGACTTGCTGGTTCCAGTGGCCTGTAGCCTCTAGGACAGATTCGTAATTTTGTTTGGCTGAGGGCTAACCGAGAGACCTGCCTGTAAGGAAAATTCGAGAGGAACATATCTGCAAATTCGGGAAAATATAGGCCCATACTAACTAAAATTTCCTACAGCTACCCTAACTGTGAATAGCAGGCCCGGGCTACCCCTAGGACAGACAGGTCCTATGGGCCTAAGCTGATAGACGGTCCTATAGCCTATAGCCGGGTAGGGAGAGGCCCTAGAGGTCGAAACTGAAACGGTACCGGTCGGTCCAGTCAGTCCGGTCTAGGTCGTGTCTAGGCTAGTGTAGGTGATAGATAGGATGAGGACATCGGTTCAGGGCTTTTGGCAGTTGGTACCGTGTACGTCGCTGCTGGGCAACGCGTGAACTGGACGTGGTGACAGCTTCAACGTTGGGGGAGACGGACATAGCCAGACCTGCGTAGTGTCGGCCATAGCTGGGACCGGCACTGTACTCTGACAGCACACGGGGCTGTCCAGAGGTCTGGGCTACTTGAAGTCTGCTGGAGGCAGGAGAAGTTGGTGCCCTGCTGAACCCTCCTCAGGAGTAGGGTTACAGGGTGTGTGGCGCTGCAGCCATAGCTGCAGCTTCTTCCTCAGAGATCATCTTGTCAGGAGAGGTGGCGCTGCTGCAGACTTCCACCTGGGAAGTCATCCGGCACTTCATCATCATCAGACAGTGTGGCGCTGGTCTTCTTCTTCATCCTCCGAGAAGCGCTTGGCCTCAGAGGCCTGTTTCAGGGTGGCGCTTCCCTCAGGGAGTAGTATCTGGGTGGCGGTGGTTGTTTCAGGGGCTCAGGGGTGATTTAGCGGTTACTCAGGGTGTGGGGAGTGAAGCGCTGCTCGTTTCTGAGCAGCGCACCATAGTTCTGGAGGCTACTCTGGCAATTTGAGACTCTGAGTTTAATAAACAGTGTTGATACTGGGTTTGGACTATCAATGCTTCATTGTTTCTTCGATGTGATCTACTCGGCTTTCCTTTGTGACTGGTTGTGAGGATTCTTTGGAGCGAAGTGCACTTTCAGTGTTCTCTGTCATATTGCATGGTCAAGTCTTCCGCTGTGTTTCTCTCTCCCTGTGCAGTGTGATACTCCTATCCTCTCCCCTTCCTTCTCTGTATGTATGGGCATACTTGGAAGTCTATGCATGCGAGTGTTGGTCACCTGACAACAAACAACCAGGTTCATAACACAATGCCCTCGTGTACGGCCTCGCCCACCCCCCATGGCGAAGCGTCGCACAGTGTTACATGCAGCGCGTGCACACACGGGCCATTTTGCAGGCCTGACTGGATTCAGGCCAAAACCCTGGATTTCAGGCCGAAAGCCTGAAATTCAGGGCTTACAGGCCCCATTTCGGTTCAGGCCGAAAGCCTGACTTTCAGGGCCTACAGCCCCTACGACGGTTCAGACTAAAAATGGTAATAGCATTTTTAGCCTGAACCCAAGGGCCATTTTCGGTCGTTCATCAGAACGACCGGCCCTGAAACTCAGGCACCGAACCAGGGTTTTGGGAACAGCCTATATTTAGACTGTTCCCACGCCTGCCTCAAGCAGGCTGCTGCACGCCAGCCCCTGGCACACTTCGGCATTGGCAAGAGCTGGCTCCTCGGCCTGCTCGCCCTCCTGCAGTCAGGAGGCAGGCCGAGGAAGTACATAGGACTTCCCAGGCACTTCCGGGGAAGGCAGTTCGGCAGTTGTAGTCTTCAGGATTCGGGAGCAGCACTCTGGAGGGAGCGCTGCGTTGTAGTAGAGTAGYGTTAGCTAGTAGTCTCCAGCGCTGGGCGCAGTAGGTAGCTGTAGTCTCCAGCGCTGGGCGCCATAGCTAGGTAGTGGTAGAGATGATGGRCGGAGGCCAGGGATCACTTACCTGCAGCRCCGTTGCTCCAGCTTCGTCTTCGAGGTACCTGCAGCACAGCGCCAACATCACAGGTTAGTACCTGGTTCGTAACAGTGWGAGAGAGAGAGTTCTCTTCTTCCTCTTCTCAGTCYMCCATCTTCTTCTTACCCTCTCAACTTCTGACTTCCCTGCAGTTGCAGACTACGAGAGAAGAGATACCGGGCTTGGTGACATATGATCCAGACTCGACTTTTTTTGGGGATTCAGACATGGCAACGAGGGACTATGTGGGATTGGTGACCAAGACTTGGTGTTAACGACATTCCCATCGTCCTCCCTCCTTTCGTCTAACCCTTACCTCTTCGTCTGTGTATGTCTGGACCTGGCGCTGGCTTCCTGTGTTACAGCGCCAGGCTCCTTCACACTCGGTGATGGATACAATGCATGTTTAGTCTGAGTTCAACATTGATTGGGCTAGTTAGYAGCACTCTGGCATTCTGCTTCGTTACTCCGAACTACGTGGATGAGGTCAGTCCTGTCAGGTCAGTCTTTGTATCAAGTCTTCCCTGCGCTCTTCAACATCTTCATGTATGAATGAGAATGTACATTGCTGGTCGAGATTCTCGTAACCGCATTGTCTATTCAGTCCTTTTCATCACACTGCAGATTCTCGGTTTATTGCATACATTGCATATTTATGCATGTAACACACAGGGAGAATGGAGGATGAGAGAGGATGCCTGCCAAAGCTGAAGGTGAGTCACCAGTCCAGAACCTCTTCCGTCAAACCTCGTTGATGTCGTTTTTTTTTTTTTTTTTGAACAAAGAAGAAGGTTTCCATTATATTCCAAAACTTTGAGGCCGGGGACCTCACAATTCGACCCCGGGTTATCTTGGGAGCATTACCCAGTTTTGCTTATGACGAGATCCACTGAGTCCCTAAAACCCTTATCATTTTGTCTGTATCCTTACTGCTTCCTTGTACGCTCCTCTCAGCTACATGGGCTGTCGGCTATCCCTGAGGTTCTAGAGCGTTGAGCCACCAACGAAGCGCTGTTCCTGCTTGCAAAACCCCAAGCTACTTTTGCCATCTTGAAAGGAGCTAACTCTGCTGCGTAAGCCCTAATCCTCAGCTTCTACTTTCTCTGTCAAACCTCCCTAAAGCGTTGCCTGCCCTCCAGCTTCTGCGCTGTCCTCCTCCTCTTCTTATCCCGGTCTGCCATCCCCCCGACAGTCCCGTTCCTCAGTTGGAGTTCAGGCTGGTGCTGGGTCCTTGCGACCGAGCCGACCGCAGTAAAGCATTCCTTCCCATGTTGCCATCTCCTTGGGGTCCCCCTGAGAGTCTCCACACGAGTCTCGGTGTGTCCCCTTCTATGCCGCGTAGTTTCCCGGATCCCAGGCTGTCCTTGCAGAATTTGTCTATGATATCTTGTCTTTCGGTGGGGCCATTCTTGATACTCTTGAGTGCTCTGTGCCAGTCGGCCTGGTAATCAATCCGTAAGAGTTGTGTGACCGTCTCCCATGCTTCTGCCATTGGGTGTTTTGGGTGTCGATGGTTTCCTTGCAGTGTCTCTTCCATATTGCCCTTAGTGTAAGCAGCCGCGGTCTCCGGAAGCGGGTCTTCTGCCACTTCTCTCTAAGCACGGGCTCTGACAGGCAGCCTGTGAGGCGAGTGATGGGGTTATCTGGCAATGGTGCGCTGTTGACTGTCACCCACAGCACGCGCTTCTGCTCCGGCGGCCACAGCTGCCGTGCTTTCTGGCAATACACAGAGGGCAGTGGGGCAGGTTCTCTCCAGCAAGCCCTCGTCGCAGATTGCACAAAGGTCGTCGAAATCCCGCTTGGCTGCCGCTCTGCGCCGCCTGCTGAGCCACTTATTGACTGGGAGGCTCCAGGGAGGAGGTGTTTCTCTCATCTTTGTTTCATGATGTCGTTGGCGTCGACAGCTCTCCTCCTGAGTCTGTAGCCCAGGCGTGTAGTGTGGTCCAGGATGTAAGTACGCCGCTCGGTCCGAGTCGTCATGCCAACCGTCTTCCATGCCCATTTCGCTGGGTCAAATTCCAAGTCCTGCAGTTGTGTTGTTGGGCTATAGATTCTGTCGAAGTCGTCCTCCACCACGCGGATCTTGCGAAGCAGCGCTGGTTTAGCTCTTACTCAAGCGCGCGTGCACTGTCTTATTTAAGATGGAGTGTGTTTTGTCAAGCTCTGACCTTTTCGTTGTATATATCCACCTTGTGTCTCGGAGTCCGTAGCCTTTCAGCAGCAGCAGCAGAAGCAGCTACTCCACATGGAATGCATCCATTCATCCATTACTTCATTCGTTGTTTCATTGCTCGTAACAGCTCCCAGGTCCAGCTGGGGCCGCCCGTGCAGTACCGTCCAGTGGTGCTGCAGGAACCCCCCGCTGGGTTAGGAGGCAGCGGAAATACCGCAGCCTTGTGGAGACGGTCTGAAGTTGTTCTTTGTATCGATCCGCCTTGCGTCTTGGAGTCCATAGCCTTTCAGCAGCAGCTGCAGCTCTAGGCCAAATGGTCTGTAAGATGTCTGACGGATCCACCGTCTCCCCCCACATGCACACCTCCCCGCCAAGCACGAGTGCCTGCTGGTCCGACGTCGGTATGAATTGCAGTGGCTCGTACCCGTAGACACCATCCCAGGTCATCTTCAAATTGTCCAAGTACCAGAAGTCCCTGCAGCTTACTATGCAACGTAATCCGGCTTTCACCACTTCCATCGCCGTCATCTCACTTATCCAAGTTTGGATGATTGTTCGGTTGTCCATGTCCTGCCCAAACGTATTGAAGGTCTCCTCCCAGTTCACAGGGTCCCGACCACGGGTGATTGCCGCTTGCTGTACACGATTGACAAACTGGAAATAGGCCGCTTGACCAGAGATGTTTCCTTTCGTCAGCCAAGCATGGATGTGTGGAGTGGCCTCCCAACAGTTGGTATTGACCTCGTCCCCTCCTAAGTGGAATAAGTCATAATCGAACACATCGTTAAGATGATCGAGGACCCCGTTGAGCAACTCGAAAGTAAAGTTTTTTGTAAGATCCAATGGTTCTCGACAAGCCGCGGACGGCCAAAGCTCTTGATACCCAACACCCCAAGAAGCGGCATGACCAGGGACATCCAACTCCATCATGACACGAACGCCTCGTTGCCTCGCGTACTCGACCACCTCCTTCACATCCTCTGTTGTGTACCTCTCTTGTTCGGAATACGCCCCATTCCATAACAGTGGGTACTTGGGCACCTCTAGTGGAAAAGCTTGAGTGTCCACAATATGCCAGTGGAGCACGTTCAGCTTAGCGAAGGACAAGGAGTCGACGACTCCCTTAATTGCCGCCACCGGTTGGAAATGTCGCGATGTGTCGATCAACACTCCACGATGAGGGAACCTTGGCGAGTCCTGAATAGCCCAAGGGACCCCCTTTACTTCAACGCTTTTAGAAGAGAAGCTGTAAGAACAAAGCTGGCTAAAAGTTTCGAGCGCTCTCAGCACGCCGAAAACTGTTTCCGCCAAGATCAACACCTCAGCGTCCTCCGAGTCCGGGATTTCTAAAAAGTATGACTCGTCCGTGTCCAACTGAAGCTTCTCTGACGACGTAAGCACGACGATACTCACCAACCGCAAACCCCCATCCTCATTCACCTCCTCCTCCGCAGCATCTACCAATCGTTGCTCCCTTCTCCACCATGATGAGTTAGAAAGACCAGCACTCCGAAGAGAACGGACTCGTTCTTCTTTCGAAATGCCGGTTGTATGCCTCGTCGTTGCACTGTCTTTTTTCTGTCGATGACTGAAGATTAGGTTATGGTAACGCCTAAATGCATTTCTAAGCAACTCCGAGCGTACGTTAGCCTGGAATGACATTGCCCTGCTGACACGGATAGAGCCGCTGCCATTAATATAAGATAAGGGTAATGGCCAGATGAAAGCCTGATGATCATTGTCGGTAGCAAGCGAGTCGAGTAATCTGTCGACACGTCTGCATCCCCCTCCTCCTCCCTTTCCTTCCCCCACTTTGAATACTCCATTTAGTTCATTCCCATTTTCTTGTCCTCCCTGTCTGCTTCCAACTCCCTTTGGAGCACCACCTCCAACACCACCTCCACCTCCACCTCCACCTCTTCGGTGATTGTTGTATGCAAGCACCTTCTGATGAGGTCTGTGTCTGTCTTCGAGCACTGTACTTCGGGTCTCAGCTTGCCACGGAGTGTGCCGTTCCTTGAGCATTGCTCCGCGGCGCTGTCGCCACTGATCGGCACATTCAAGAGTATATTTTTCATGTTGTAGCCACCAGCTACTTCCATCCACGAGCTCCGCCTTGCGTGATGGCGTCGGGATAATCACCAGTTGGTGCACCATCCACACGCCCACAGTCAGCGAAAGTACAGACCATGACCAACATATCATCGGTCCCCAGGGCTTGAATAGTACTGCCAAAGCATTGGCCTTATTCACCCCACAGCCCACCATTGTTTGATTGATATAGCTCGCAGCGGGAGACACGCCAAAATCTCTGAAACCCTCATACACATACACGTTGTAAAGCTGCAACTCAAAAATTGGAACTGCTTAACTTTGGTTCGCAATTCGATATCTGCAACGCGAACAAGTTTACAAACACACAGGTGGTTAACAGGTACCCCCACTTTTCAGCCCCAGGTTGACACCCTCACCCCTGAGACGAGCCTGGAAAAACCCTGAAATGAGCCTGGAAAAACCCTGAAAATTTGGGGCTCTGTTAACCATCTCTCGAAAAGGACAAAAAATGAGGGGCTGTGGCAGGACTCGTTATTAAGGGGAAGTTTGAAAGCAAAAAAAAAAAAAAGAGGCATGGGGAGCTCCAAACTGCCAAAGCATTTGACATGATTAAGCGGATACATACTTCCTTCCTCGCTCAAGTAAACTATGTTGTCATTATGTCTGTATTCCGCCCAATTTTCAGGTCAAAAGCACTTGCGATGATCCTACAACATTTTATACAGCCACCTAGGGGGTGGGGAGGGAGAGGCTGAGGGCCATGCAAGAAGAGCAAGGGGGGACTGGAGGTGGGGTTGAGGGGGAAGGAGTCAGTGGAGAAAAGTGAGGAAAGGAGGGGTGAGGAGGAGGAAGGGAGAAAGGGAGGAGAGCCGGAAGGCGGGGAGCAGAGGGCGGGGAAGGGCCAAAGGGGAAGTAGAGTAGGGGAAGACAGGTATTTCCCTAACACATTCATATGAGAAGGGACGGTGGACTGAGTTTCCAGCTTCTCTATCTCTATCTCCTCTTCTCTTCTCTATCCTCCTAAAGCCAACCTGGTGATCGCAGGTGATTTTAACACGGTCTTCGTGCCTGGTCTGGATTCTCCTCAAGCAGAATGAAGGAATTTTGACACAGTTCTCCTGGAACAGATCATGGAAGCTCAAGGCCATACGCATACGTACAGACAGGTAAATCCGGATGCTCCGTGCTACACCTGGACTTCAGCCCAACGAATAGAGGACTGAATGCCACCAAGGAGAAGATTGGACCTTGTGTGGACGAAAGTCGAACCCTGGGAGGCAGTGACTAGCTCAGTGGCCCTGCCCGATCCGTTATTGGACCACTGCCCACTGCCCACTGGCCAGTGAAGGTGGGGTTTCAACTGGGCCAGAGAATCCAGAGGGAGAGGCACTTCTTCAGATTGAATACGGAGAACCTAAAAAATCAGGAAGTTTGGAGGTGGTGGAGGAAGCACTGTCCCAGATTTTAGCTAGGGAGAGGAAGAAGGAGGAAGCAGAATGCTTGCGGATGGTGGAAGAGGATGGAGAACCATAGTAGGACAGACCCTATCACAGACCTCTATGGAGAACAGAGAAGGGACACATGGATGGCTAAATGGGAAATGATCCAAGTGGAACAGCAAGAGACCTGCGCACGGAGGGCAAGATGTCCCACATGGACCGGATGTCGTGGACTTTGTCCCCCCCGACCTCACGACATCATCTAGCCACGACTTCCCGGAAGCTGGCAGATGGGTTGAGAGAGACCTTTTTGGATGCGCTTGCGGATTTTATAGTTGCGAAGAGGGAGATAGAAAATGGGAGGGAATGGGACGAAGGTAGGAAGGGGTGAGGAGAGGGTTCAGGTTAATCGCCCGGGGAAAGCCATATCGATCCCCGCAAGTATCTTCGTAGTCAATCAGATTACAGCGTGAGGGGAGTATCCTCCTTACACGATCTCGCCTTATGGCTCGAGTATCCTGGGGGGGTTCGGTAGGGAGTTCCTGTACGGGGATGAGGGCGGGAAGAAGGAAAGCGCAAAAAGTAGTGTAGAGCGGGACCAATATTCAGACAGGAAGAAGCGGGAGAGAAGCGCGTGGGGAGAGCGGGTGGAAAACAATTACAGATGGAGAGAAGAAGGCACGAAGAAGGGAGAGGCGAAGATGGCATGGGGATAGCAGGAAGCGGGGGCGGGGGAGCTTGCATACATGGCGCCGGCACAGAAACAAAAGGGCACCAAAACAGTTATGTTCCACGATTCTAGTTCTAATACTAATTCAAGATTAAGAAATCTAAAAACGATATCAGACGCGGGAAAATTCTACGCCATTCAGATCCTGCTGGAAATTCACAGAGTTTTCAGGGGCGAATTTGGGAGCATTCATTTGCAAGAAAGGACACGCCAGCGGGAAAGTGCGGCCATAAACCCCGGAATTCCCAACTGCCGCTCAAAATTCCTAGCGCACTCACTAAGTGCGCGCGTAAGTCCTACGTAAATTTCTGGATCGCCGAACAAAAATCGCGAAAAAGTTCTCAGAAAAAAAAAGAACAACAAATCTTGAAAAAGTAGGAGGGCCTCGTCAGCCATTGATTTCATGAATACCGCAAACAAAAAGGAAGTTTACCCCTAAAGCCCGTTAAAGATCGAAAAGTACAGATAACAAAACTCAGGGCTTCGAAAGTTCGTTCGGGTACAGAAGCTGGTACGTCACAGCCCAGGGAGTCGTTGTAGGCAATGCACGAGGAAGCAGATCTCTGGCAGCACACAGATAAGACACTCAGTCTGGATGCTCACCAGAGATTCGCCTTAGACAGGCCCCTTGTCTTGGAAGAACTACAAGAGGCAGTCCAATGCATGGCCAGAGGGAAATCGCAGGGAGATCATGGCATCCCCGTGGAGTTATACTCAGCCACCTGGGATCAAGTGCGCCTGATCCTGCTAAGCCTGGATGCTCACCAGAGATTCACCTTGGACAGGCCCCTTGTCTTGGAATAACTACAAGAGGCAGTCCAATGCATGGCCAGAGGGAAATCGCGGGGAGATCATGGCATCCCGGTGGAATTATACACAGCAACCTGGGATCAAGTGCGCCTGATCCTGCTAAGCCTGTTCAACAGGATTTTGGAGGGGGGGGCACATTGACAGACGACATGTGCACAGGGGTTATCACCCTTCTGTACAAGAAAGGGCACAAGCAAAACGAACGCAACTGGCGCCCCATTTTGCTCCTCAACGTGTCTTGCAAAATTCTGGCAAGGTGCTCGCCAGGCGGTTGGCTCACATCTTGGCAGATCCAATTGGTGCAGATCGAGGGGCATTCGTCAAGGGAAGGTCCATTGCTGAGAACATCTTAATCGCGATTGGGCCACTGGAGGTCATCAACAAGGAGAGAAGATAGGTCACGGTGGCAATACTTGGTCTTGAAAAGGCGTACGAACGGGTTAACTGATCCTTTGCCTTAGCAACCTTGGAACACACGAACTTTGGAACCATGACGTCCGTTCGCAGATGGATCACAGCGATGTATTGCTCCTCGACAGCAATGGTTCTGGTCAACAGCAAGCGCTCCAGAGTCTTTGGACTGTAAAGATCCTCAGGCAGGGGTGCCCTTTGGCCTCACCGTTATTTGTGGCACAAATGGAGGATCCCTCAGGCAGGGGTGCCTTTGGCCCCCCTGTGTGACACAAATGGAGGTCTTGCTGCATGCCATGCGCGGTCCCGCAGATCAGAGAACTGCGCCTGAAGGAAGGAACAGAAGTCTGCACGGGAGCAATTGCTGATGATCTCCTGCTGATATCTGAGGCCACTAAGGAATCCAAGGAATCTGCTAAGCTGCTATTTGACCAGTACTCCTCACTATCCGAAGCAAAGGTCAACTGGGACAAGTCAGTGTGTTTCTTGCCCCAGGGATACGAACTACTTCATGACGACTGGTAAATGAGGATGATCAGCGAAACGGAGTCGGAAGGCTAACTAGGGGTCCAAGTTTCATTCTCCAACAGCCGCCCGGCTCAGGATGCTATTCTGGCGGGTAAAGTGGAGGCCTGACTGAAGAGATGCCACGGAGCCAGAGGGCGCAGAGGCATTTCCTTGATGGGGAGAGCTACAGTGATCTCCTCCTCTGTGTTTGCCCTCATCTGGCGTGGTCGTGATCTCCAAGATTGCGCTCTCCAAAATCAACATTGGGGCGGGTCGCTACCTGTGGAAACTATACGCCGAAGACGAGCAGGGCTTTATCTCTTAAGTCGCATGGGGCAAAGTTACTACCTAGGCCAAAAGCTCAAGACGGACTTGGCATAGTGGATCCGGAAAAGCAGAACCTCGCACTTCTGGGAAAATGGCTCCAGAAAGTGCCCACTCAGAATGAGCAGCGCAACTGGCTGGAAGTGATGCTATACATCCTCCAGCAGGCGTTGCACTTACGCAGGCCTAGGAACGTGTTGGCCCGTTTGCAGCTCCCGTCCTTCCTTAACCGCCGACCCGAGCCGGTAATTGGCCTGTCCTGGTCGATTGCATGGAAGAGGTTAAAGCCCCAGCACGGTAACCTTACCCCCCCCACCATCAGAGTGGAAGTGATCATCCAGCCCCTGTTTGAGAACCCTGCGATTTTGTACGACAATGGGAGTGTTTTTCCTGCCTCCTCCCAAACAGGGTCCTTCCGTAGGAAATGGATGGAGAAAGGTGTGTCGCAGGTGCGGGACTTATGGGAGCAAGAGAGAGGAGAATAAAAGCACGACAGAGAAAATTCAGCTAATCCTGGGCAGATTGCAGGGAGTGGGGATCAAGCTGAAGCATCTAACGGAGGCCACAGCCGCGGGGAAGGAACGAGGGAGTCCGGTATTGAGAGCGACATGCCCCAGCGGAGCCTCTGACAGTCTATAGATTGGAGGCACAGACTGGCTAGCCACTCAACGGAGCCTTAAACCACCAGTACATCCGACAAAGGAGATTGAGCCTCTCCCCAAAAAATAGGAGGCCATGAACCGCCCATTCATTTTATCGACAGTCCATGGCCTCCTAATTTTTCGGAGAGGCTCGATCTGTTTTTTTTCGGATATACTGGTGGTTTAAACAGCCCAGTGACATGAAGGGAGATAGTCAAAGTTCAGGAGGCACAGCTGGGGTCTGATCAGTCCCTCATTGACAGTCAGGGCCATGCAACCCTCCGCAGCCAACGGACGGATCAGTTTCACTCTCATACAAGGAGGGACTTCAACTACCGAGCTCCAGCTGGACCCAGGCAGGTTCACCT